ATGTGAGTGTTGAGTGAAAATATGATACATTAAATGGAAAAGACAGTCGAGGCATAAATGCCTAATGCGATAAATCGATACTTAAGGAGTTTGTGCAGACTACATTGATACTGATGGAAGAACTAAAAAGGAAGGGTGATGTATCAGTTAGACAAGTTCTGGTTTGGATGTATAGAAATCATAAGTACCTGTCACTGTTATTATTGGAGGCATATTGTACTATTAACATTTAATTTCTTTTGATGTCGCACACTTTATCTTTGCTGTGTATCTGTTAGATTTTGCTAATTCGTTTTCTCCAGAACATGGATTGTTTGGTCGAATGTTAGACTAATGCCATATGGTTTGCCAAGTCTACCATTCCCTTGTCGCATAAATCTCAAAATTGGTTCATTACATACAGAACAGTTTAGTCATTTGAGTAAATACTATCTTTCCGATGTCTAATGTATGCCCGAAGATTATTTATTCCATCTTGAGAATAAATATGTTTGTCGATATAATTATAACTGGATATAGTTACTATATACCTGTATCTAATGCTGATCGTAGGTGGTTCTCGAACGCTCGTGACTAACAGTTCGTTTTATCGGCAATGATACATCCTCTAATGATTGTTCTAAATCACTAGCATTATCATCGTCATTAGCATGCTGGTCAATTAGAGAATGGTTATTGTCGTGTGTCTCATTTAATTCAAGATCATCAAATAATTTTAAATCATGATGCGATGTTGTTTCTGCAATGGGTTTTAATAAATCACCACGACCAACGGGACCGTATATATTCAACTGAGAAGCTCTTTTTGGTTTATTAGTGTTTAAATTTATTCTTCGACAATGACGAACGATATCGACCATAAAGAATAACATCCAGAATATTGATAACCAATATAAAAATGTGAAATAAACCTAAAATAAACGATTTAGTTTTAATGTTTTTTTATTTTATCCACTGAATGGAAGAAAAGATATGTTCATTACCTCTGCAAAATGTTTAAATCCTTGTTGTTCTTCTTCTGGAATAATTGCATGGGAGATGGAAAAAGCAACACCAATAAGCGTAATGCGTTCGCTAAGCGTAATGTTTTGGGATGTTCTAATCACCTAAACCATATAGGATGCTGAATATTTTGTACGCATCATTAGTTTCATCATTGTTACTAAAATTGAAGACAAACAAAATTAAGAGAAATAAGACTCACTACACGACGGTCATACATATATTTCAATTCTTGAATGTTTACATTTCAATACAAATTGTTTACGTTTGATTGCTTTTATAATTTATCACCGTTTCTTTAATAATGAATTATCTCCATTATAAGCATGATGGTTTGAAAATGAAGATGAAAACCAATCTTTCAGCATTTGGAAAACTGTAAGGAGTCTCTTGAAGTTTGATAAAACTGATAACAGCACTAGAGAGACAAATACTGATAAAACGGCGATCGAATTCTGGCTATGGAAGAGGACTTAACGACTAAAGATGAAGTGTTTTACTTATCTTTACTTCATTTCCATTCGTTTGAGAGGAGACGCGCGTACGCACCTCCTGCGGAATAAATTTTCCAGCCGAGTAAGCCTCAATTTGAGAGCTTATCGCAAGTTTCAGATCCAC